AGTGCTGGCGTGGTAGAGCTTGTAGTGGCTGTGGAGAGAAAACCCTCCTCACAGTTCCAGGACAGAAAGGAGTGCTTGTGGTCACTAGACCAAGCACAGGCAGGAAAGGAGTAAACACCTCATTCCTTATCATAACACCTTGGAAGAACTGAAAATTTACAGGTCCCTACAAGTGTCGCTGAAAACAGCTGTACAAACCCCAGAAACTTGGGACAGAACATTCTCCACATTGGAAGCAGGCTTTTACCTTAACAAAGAGTTTAAAACTCAAGTAATTGGCCAGGATCATGAGCAAGCAGCGCAAAAAGAGTCAGACTATATTATCTTACTTTGGTGACAAAGAAGATCAAAATATACAACCAGAAGAAGACAACAAGTCAAAGCTCCTACATCCAAAGCCTCCAAGAAAAATATGAATCCGTTTCAGGCCTTGGAAGAGCTCAAAAGGGATTTTGAGAAGCAAGTAAGATAAGTAGAGGAAAACTGGGAAGAGAAATGAGAGTGATGCAAGAAAATCATGAAAAACAAGTCAACAGCTTGCTAAAGGAGACCCAAAAAATACTGAAGAAAATAACACCTTAAAAAATAGCCTAACCCAAATGGCAAAAAGGTCCAAAAAGCCAATGAGGAGAAGAATGCCCTAAAAAGCAAAATTGGCCAAATGGAAAAGGAAGTCCAAAAGCTTACTGAAGAAAACTTCCTTAAAAATTAGAATAGAGCAATTGGAAGCTAGTGACTTTATGAGAAATCAAGACACTGTAAAACAAATCCAAAAGAATGAAAAATAGAAAAAATGTGAAATATCTCATTGGAAAAACAACTGACCTGGAAAATAGATCCAGGAGAGAGAATTTAAAATTATTGGACTATCTGAAAGCCATGATCAAAAAAAGAGCCTAGACATCATCTTTCAAGAAATTATCAAGGAAAACTGCCCTGATATAGTAGAACCAGAGGGCAAAATAGAAATTGAAAGAATCCACAGTCTCCTCCTGAAAGAGATTCCCAAAGGAAAACTCCTAGGAATATTGTAGCCAAATTCCAGAGTTCCCAGGTCAAGGAGAAAATATTACAAGCTGCCAGAAAGAAACAATTCAAGTATGTGGAAACACAATCAGGATAACACAAGATTTAGCAGCTTCTACATTAAGGACTGCAGGGCATGGAATATAATATTCTGAGGGCAAAGGAGATAGGATTACAACCAAGAATCACCTACCCAGCAAAACTGAGTATAATCCTTCAGGGGAAAAAATGGTCATTCAGTGAAATAGAGGACTTTCAAGCATTCTTGATGAAAAGACCAGAGCTGAATAGAAAATTTGACTTTCAAATACAAGACTCAAGTGGAACATGAAGAGGTAAACAGGAAAGAGAAATCATAAGAGACTTATTAAGGTTGAACTGTTTACATTCCTGCATGGAAAGATGATATTTATAACTCATGAGATTTGTCAGTATTAGGGTAGTTGGAGGGAAAAATTATATATATATATATATATATATATATATATATAGTAGTAGATATATAGATAGATAGACACAGGGCACAGGGTGAGTTGAAGATTAAGGGGTCATATCTGGAGAATAAAATTAAGGGATGAGAGAGGATATATTAGAGAAGAAGGGAGAGGTAGAATGGGGTAAATTATCTCACAAAAAAAACAGAAAAGAAAAGGCTCTTACAGTGGAGGGAAACAGGGGAAGGAGAGGGAATGAGTGAATCTTATTCTCATAGGATTTGGCTTAAGGAGGGAATAACATACACATTCAATTGGGTATGGAAATCTGTCTTACCTACAGGAAAATGGGGGGAAGGGGACAAGAGAGCAGGGGGATGATAGAGAGGAGGGCAGATTGGGAAAGGGGGTAATCAGAAGCAAATACTTCTGAGGAGGAACAGGGTCAAAAGAAAGAATAGAATAAATGGGAGGGCAGGATAGGATTAAGGGAAATAGAGTTAGTTTTTCAGAGCATGTCTACTATGGAAGTGTTTTGCATAACTGCACATGTATAACCTATATTGAGTTGCTTGCCTTTTCAATGAGGGTGGGTGGAAAGGGAGGAGGGGAGAAAATTTGGAACCCAAAGTTTTAAAAACATATATTTTTTTAAAATGCTTTCACATACAACTGGGAAATAAGAAATACAGGAAATGGGGTACAGAAGTCTATCCTACCCTACATGAAAATAGAAGGGGAAGGGGATAAGAGAAGCGGGGGAGAGATAGAAGAGAGGGTGGACTAGGGGAAGGGATATTCAGAATGCGTGCCATCTTGGAGTAGGGGTAGGGGCGAGATGGGGTGAAAATTTGGAACTCAAAATCTTGTGGAAGTAAATGTTAAAAACTAAAAATAAATAAATTTAATAAAAATTTAAAAAATAAACTGTGATATCTTGAAAGAAAAAAATATATACACTAAAATGTAGTGCCCAGAACTGAACACAGTATTCTCCTTGTCATCTGAGTAGAGCAAAGCACAGCAGTGAACTGTTACTATCCTCTCATTGTTAGGGTACAGCAGTCACATCTCCCCTTATTCTCTGTTCTCTATCCTGAATATTCCCTAACTGCTCCAACTGTTTATTCCTATACTCCATTCTCTTTTGGTTGCTTTCCTTTGGATGCCTGTTAAAATGTAGTGTCCATATTCTAACACTTTTCAGATTCAATCTGATTAGCACAGAGTAAGGAATGATTATGACTTCCTATGATCTGGGTACTTTATTTCTATACAACAGGAAATTCTTCTGCAGCCGAAGATTGTTTTAATTTTTCTGGAAACTGTCATTGACTCCTGTAAGCCTGTTGTCACCTAAATTGCTCATTTTTTTTTCATATGAGGGGCTGCCAAGCCGTTTTCTCCACTTTGTACTTCCTTAATTGATTTTTGAACTTAAATGCAGGATTTTACATTTATTGTTATTTAGATTTTCAAGCTTGATGCTATTTGAGGACTTCCTTTATTCATATTTTTGGATTGTTTATAGCATATTGCCTAGCCCATAGTAGAAGCTTTATAAACATCGCATTGACTTGCAGAAAGCTGCCATATCTGTGCTCTGGCCCACACCTTTACAAGAGCGGAACTGAGCTCTGCCCTATGCTGATGTTTCCTAGTGTGTGGGACAGTGACCACCAAAATCAAGAATTTGGAATCTGAATCAGAGATCAGAAAAGGTCTTTATTCTTTCTCATGAGAAAGAGCACAGCCCTTGTGACTCCTGAAGCAATGGCAACCAGGGAGTGCACAGCTGGCCATGAGAAGCAAAGTTTTGTAGCCCTAACGGGTGCCCCCTCCCACTCTCTTACCTCTTTCCCCCATTGGCTGGGTACTCAAGGCGTACAATCTAAACGCAGCAACTGATACCCAGTAGAAGCAAAGATACCCGTATTTGGGAACTAGATGTATGCGTGCGCCAGGAAACGGGAGTGACCAGGAGGTGCCTGTGCTGACTTGGATTTTTCAGAAAGGTGAAACCCAACTCAGGGCTTAGGCCTGAGGAAATTGCACTTTAGGCCATCTCTCACACTAGGATTTTCTTTTTTCTGGTTTGGGGGAGTGGGAGGATTTCTGAGCTGTCAGGCAGGAAAAAGCCCAAAGGCAGCTTAGAGTTCATCCTGCCATGGGGGGCCCAAAATAGGGGTTTCTTTATCTGAAAGCATATACATGTTTTCTCACAAGTAGAAGATTTTTTTGTGTGTGTTTGGACAGAACTCTTCTTACTTTAAAAATAGAAATATTTATTTTAAATAGGAGATAGTTATAGCTATTGATCTCTACTTTAAAATTAAGAAAAATTAGGAGAGGTGATTTGAACTATATTACTAATTTACTGAGCTTCCTGCAAAAAGGTCGTGTTAGTTGGTTACAGTTTTTCCTTTCATAACTGTTATATAACTCTCCAAACAAAAATGTGGCAAGATTTTCATTTTGTAAAGAAGTGGATAGTGCCACTGGCAGCTTATAACTCATTTTAGCAATAGTCAGGTTTTCATCTTTGTTCTCTGTAGGTTAATGGTAGGTAAAAGTGAAGAAAGGTGCTGATGGGAAAGCATGTGCGATCAGGAATGGCCATAAAGAGAAGTAGACAGCACATGAGGTACTGCTGAAATGTGAGAAAAGTGCTTTGTAAACTTCATAGCACTTTATAAATGTGAGCCATTATTGGTAGGAATTGAAAGTAACTTGTGTTAGGGTATGGTCATGCTAATGAGATCAGAGAATGAAATAGTATTCCAAAATAACCTCCAGTTCTGTTTTCTGTCACACATATTTTAAGAAACATTGCTAGATTATTCTTTTTATGCTGAGTTGAAAATTAAGTTTGTGAACCTCTGAGTGAACTTTAGACAATCTTTTTTTATCTAACTTGATGCTCTTTGCTATTTTTATTGCAATTACTCATGAATAGCCTTTATTTCAAAACCACCAGTTCTATCTTTTTTTTCCCCTCATTCTCAAAAAAATGAAAACTTTCTCTTTCTTTTTTGCCTTCCCTCAGGCTAGTATCTCTGGAAAATTCAGGCTCTCCTTATAAAGCAATATACATGTTAATGAAAATGCCAGATGTTATGAGTTTCTAAACAAAATTTGACTAATTTCATGATGTAAGAGATAATATAGGTCAAGTGGATAGTAAAGCGTAGGCTGTAAATAACTGAGTTAAAGAGAATTTTTTGTATACATTTTTTTATTTAAATATTTCACAGAAATTTAAGGAGAGATAGACATATGTGTGTATATACATATATGAAAAAATGAATATATTCACATATATGTATATGTAGGCACATGTTTGTGCTTGTATCTGTCTCTTTTTTGATGCAGAGATAGATACACATAGATATAGCAATATGTGTATTAAGCTATTATGCTTAAAATGTCACTAAAACTTTTGTAATACCCTGTATATCTCTTTAGTAATTACATAATATTAATTTTTCATTGTTCTTTAAAATTAAATTATAAACTGCTTTTTTTCTTTTCCCCAATTAGTTTTGCCAACCTGGAGGATGGCAACTGTCCAGAGAGAGAAAGCAGCCAACATTCTTCGTGGTTGTCCTGACAGATATTGACTCAGATCGGCATTATTGCTCGTGTCTAACTTTCTATGAGGCAGACATTAACCTCCAGGTAAAGTACCTTAATAGCAAAAATTCAGCTCAGTTTAATTGAATTAAAGTGAACATTTATTAAATGCCTGGTACATAAAAGGCATTATGAACTCAAAGATGAAAAACAACAGTTCCTTCACCCTACAGGAACTTACAGTGTAGTATGGGTGATGAGTTACATACATAAGTAAATATAATGCAAATTAGACTATGATGAGTGAACTATTTTTATTGTTGTTCAGTTGTTCAGCTGTGTCAGAGTCTATGTGACCCCATGGACTTTGTTGATGGTATTTTCTTGGGAAAGATCCTAGAGTGTTTTACCATTTCCTTCTCCAGTGTCTCCCCATTTTATAGATGAGGAACTTAGGCAAATAGGGGTTAAATGACTTACCCTTACAACTAGTAAATGACTGAGGCTGGATTTAAGCTCAGATATTCCTGACTCCAGGCCTGATCTCCTCTCTACTTCACCACCTAGCCGCCCATCATGAATGAATAGGAAAGATTAAATAAATGTTACAACAGATTCAGGGGGAGTATGGTCGCTTGTGGCTTGGTGGATATAGGGAAGATTTGTTAAAGCATCTTGAATTTCATTTGGGGAGCCACTGACAGTTTGGTGGCAGTGTCAGAATGGTACGTGAAAAAGAAATTTTTACCAGGGGAAAAAAAGACACTGAAGTCTAAGAGTTTGTTGGCATTTTCTTAAGATTTCCCTAGATATATTTAGTGAAATTGTGTTTTTAATTTTTAATAGGCTAATGTTCAAAAGTAGTATTATTTTCTGTTTGACAGAAATAGAGACATGCAAAGCTCAGTTACTTCCCAGTATTAATGGTTCTTTTTGAAAATGTTAACTATAGTGGGTGATTTTAATGAATAGAGTGGATATGAGTAGTAGGAAACACATTTTCTATTGCTGAAAACATCTGATTTTAGCTTGGAGCCCTTCTTCTCAGGGAAGTTTCAAGGAGCACACTATAACCTGGTGCTTGGAGCATAGAAGAACCATTATTCTTATTTAGATCCTTTCCAATTCATCCTGTTAGAATATGTAAGACTTTATTTGCTTGTGAATAAATTCTTTGTTTGTTGGATAGATACAATGAACATTGATATAAAATGTGGAATATTTTTCTATTCTCTCTTTTTTATGAAGAACTGAAAAATATTTAATATATTCAGTTTTTACTTTAAAAAAAATTAGGATCTTCCAAGACAAAAAGGCAACTAATAGGAATAGGAACTAATATGAAACTAGAAACCATTGTCCCACAAATGAGCAACAAATAAATAAATAAATAAACCTCTAAAGAAGAATTTCAAATTATTAATAACTATATGAAAGAATGCTCTAATCTCTAATAATAAGAGAAATGCAGATCTTAAGGTTTCACTTCACGTCCATTACATTGGCAAAGATAACAAAAGATGGGAATAGTAAACATTGGAGAGGTTGTGGAAAAATGAGTGGAGCTATGAATTGGTCCAACCATTCTGGAAATCAATGTTGAATTATACAAAGAAAATGTCTACAATATCCCTACTCTTTGACCCAGAGATTGTACTTGTGGAACTATTGCCCCAAGGAGGTTAATGACAAAAAGAAAAACCCAGCATGTACTCCACGTATTTATCAAAGCCCTTTTTGTAGTGACAGAAGATTGCAAACAGAGTAGATGCCCAGGTGTGAACAGGCACATGAATGAAATGGAATGTTAATCTACTGTAAGAAATGGTTACTATATTAAAGAGAAATTTGGGAAGACATATACAAATTGATACAGAAAGCAGAACCAATGAAATCCATTTACATATTACAGTAACAATGTAAAGAGAAAGAACTACAATAACAAAGCAGTTGAAGCTGAATGATACATAATGATAATGACCAAGCTGGACCTAAGGAACAGATGAGAGAGGGAGTTTCAACCAAGCAGAACCGCAGATGCTGGAGTAGGGTGGTATACAGCCCCAGTAGAGGCATAGAGATGAAGCGTAAAATGTTGTGTACTAGGAACAGCAACCTAGTACAGCAAGAAGGTAGGTAAAGGGCAGGCCAGGGGACTGGCAGAAGTAGTAGGAATGAATGGTATCTTCCTCTGTTCCTTGTAATCCAGAGAAGGCCAGGCCAGGAGACAGAACTCTTTTGAGATGAAGTCATGGCTAGTGGGGGAGAGTCTTTCAGATGATTTCTCTGCAGAGAGATGAAATTTGCTGTAAGAATTTGCATATTCTCCATATTCTTAGGTTCCAAATCATAAATCAGTAAGCAGTCACTGGAGGGTCATCAAAGTCAAACTTCCTAAAATCCACTCCAGAGTAGGAAGATCTAGTGTTCCTTTCTTTTTTTTTAATCTTATTTAATATTTTGTTTTTCCCAATTACATATAAAAACAATTTTAACATTTTTTTTCACATTTTGAGTTCCAAGTTCTCTCCCTCCCTCTACTCCTCCACATTAAGCAAGCAAGTAATTTGACATAGGTTATACATGTGTCGTAATGCAAACACATTTCCACATAAGTCATTCTGTGAAAGAAAACAGACCAAAAAACCCCAAGAAAAATAAAGAAAGTAAAGGAACAGTGTCTTTAATCTGCATCCAGATTCTACCAGTTCTTTTTGTGGAGATGGATAGCACCTTTCATCTGAAGTCCTACAGAATTGTCTTAGATCATTGTATTGCTGACAATAGCGAAGTTATTCATAGTAGATCATTATACAATATTTCTGTTACTGTGTACCATGTTTTCCTGGTTCTGCTCATTTCACTTTTCATCAGTTCATATAAGTCTTTCCAGGTTTTCCTGAGAGCATCCTACTCATCATTTCTTAAAGCCCAGTAGTATTCCATCACAATCTTATACTATAACTTGTTCAGCCATTCTCCATTGATGGAAATCCCCTCAATTTCTGATTCTTTCCCACCACTAAAAGAGCTGCTATAAATATTTTTTATACATAGGTCCTTTTCCTTTTTGTTTTTTTATTTATTTGGGACACAGATCTAGTAATGGTATTGCTTAGTCAAAGAGTATGCATGATTTTATAGCCATTTGAGCATAGTTCCAGTTTGCTCTCCGAATGGTTGAATTAGTATAGAACTTCACCATAGCACGTAAGTGTTTTAATTTTCCCCCATCCCCTCCAATGTTTGTCATTTTCCTTTTCTGTCATTAGCCAATCTGACAGGTGTGAAGTAGTAGCTCAGAGTTGTTTCTCTCATCAGTAGTGATTTAGAGCATTTTTTTGTATGACTATAAATACTTTGATTACTTTGTCTGAAAACTGCCTGTTCATATCCTTTGACCATTTATCAATTGAGGAATGGCTCTTATTTCTATAAATTTGACTCAGTTTTCTATATGTTTGAGAAATGAAGTCTTTATCAGAGAAACTCATTGTGAAAATCCTTTTCATAGTAATGATTACCAACTATATTTCCCTCCATCCTGTTTTCTCCGTTTATCCTATTCTCATTCTCCTTTTACCCTGTCCGTTCTCTAACATGTTTTTCTTTTGACTTTTGCCTCCCCCAACCTGCCCTCTATTATATCTACTTCCCACCTTCCTCTCTTCTCTTATCCTCTCCCCTTCTTACTTTCCTGTATGATAAGATAGATTTCTGCACCCAAGTGAGTGTGTATATTATTCCCTCTTTGAGCCAATGCCAATGAGAATAAGATTCATGTGCTCCCTATGCCACTTCCCCCTTTTCCTCCTCCATTGTAAAATCTCTTTCAGGCCTCTTTTATGTTAGGTAATTTATCCCATTCTGCCTCTCCCTTTCCTCTTCTCTCAGTGCATTCTCCTTTTTCATCCCTTAATTTTATTATTTAAGATAATCATATCATCACATTTAATTCATACCTCTGCTTTGTGTCTTTTTATACTCTTTCTAACTGCCCTAATAATGAGAAATTTTTTAGGAGTTACAAATAGTATTTTCCATGTAGGAATAAAAATAAACAGTTCAACCTTAGCGAATCTTTTTCCTGTTGAACTTTTTATGCTTCTTTTGCATCTTCTATTTGAAAGTCAGATTTTTTATTCAGCACTGGTCTTTTCATCAGTAATGCTTGAAAGTCCTTTATTTCATTGAATATCCACTTTTTCCCCTGAAGGATTATACTCAGTTTTGCTGGGTAGGTGATTCTTGGTTGTAATCCTAGCTTTTTTGCCCTTTGGAATGTCATATTCCAACCCTTCTGATCCTTGTCATGTAGAAGCTGCTAAATCTGGTGTTATCCCGACTTGCTCCACAGTATTTGAATTGTTTCTTTTTGGCTGCTTGCAGTATTTTCACCTTGATCTGGGAGGTCTGGAATTTCGCTATAATATTCCTGGGAGTTTTCATTTTGGGATCTCTTTCAGGAGGTGATTGGTGGAATTCTTTCAATTTCTGTTTTCCCCTATGGTTCTAGAATATGAGGCCAGTTTTCCTTGATAATTTTTTAATATGTGATATCTAGACTCTTTTTTTGATCATGACTTTCAGGTACTCCAGTAATACTTAAATTATCTCTCCTGGATCTTTTTTCCAGATCAGTTGTTTTTCCAGTGAGATGTTTCATATTTTCTTCTTTTTTTATTCTTTTGATTTTGTTTGATTGTTTCTTGATGTCTCATCAAGTCATTAGCTTCCACTTGCCCAGTTCTAACTTTTAAGGAATTATTTTCGTCAGTGAGCTTTTATACCTCTTTTTTCGTTTGACCAATTCTACTTTTTAAGGAATTCTCTTTAGTGAATTTTTTAAATGTCTTTTTCTATTCAGCCAATTATGCTTTTCAAGGCATTCTTCCCTTCATTGGATTTTGTGCCTCTTTTTACCCTTTGGCCTATTCTGTTTTTTAGGTTGTTACTTTCTTCAATATTTTTTTGTGTCTTCTTTACCAAACTGTTGACTCTTTTTTCATGATTTTATTTTATCGCTCTCATTTTTCTTTCTTGATTTTTAAAATTCTTTTTGAGCTTTTCCATGGGTTGAGACCAATTCATATTTTTCTTTGAGG